GTAGAGAAGAGTGTATTCATACGGGCTTGTGTGAGTTGTAACATTCGATTTATCCTTTTTTTCTAGTTCATTCTCCTGGCTTGGTTCGCCCCCAGACGTAGGATTTAATCCGAACTGGGTTAAAAAACTTTCGTGTCTTTTATCGATTTCACATTGGTGTGTTATTATTATTCCATCTTATCCGACCTTATTTCCCGACATAAATTATTATTTAAAATATATTAATTTGTGTAGGTAATGTTTTGTATGTGTAAGAATTTAAAGATATCATTAAGAATTAAAAGTAAAATATAATAATTAAAAGTTGTAACTTCCTAGCATGAATAAGAAAATTACATTAATAACCTTAACACTTATCTTTTTATGAGGATATTCTTGGCAATTCAAAAGTTTCAAGAAACAACTCACACTTTTAAGAGAGTTATAGATAGATTATAGATTATAGAAGAACACTGATCTTCTATACCGAAGCAGTATTTTTTATTTTTTTCCAATTTCATTGGTCAATTTGATAACTGTCTCTCGCATTATGCAATCAAGAAATACTGGCTTTTGGTGCTATAATTTAGCTTTTTTATATTTTATGGTGAAATTCAAACTTCATTTTTGTGTTGGTGAAAATATTCTTCCAGGTGTTAAAGCAACCTCCGTTGAAGAACAGAAAATCGAAAAGGCAACCGCCACCTATTTTCTTCGCCGAACCAAATACTCAATCAAATTCCTTTGTCGGAACTGAAGAATATATTGCACCGGTATGGTGATTTTTCAATTTTCTGTAAATATTCCTAATTCTTTTCACTTTACTAGCATATCATAGCATTCTCAATTACAATTCTATCCTATAAAGACTGAAAAGAAAATTCAAGATTTTCTATTGAATTGAACTTAAATTAGAGGTTAGCAAAAGTGATACTTGTTCAACATTAGATCAAATTAGGTACTGCAACATGTTAAATATGATATCGGTTGAGATTAATACGAAATACTGATTTTCTCGATTTTCAGAAATTAATTTGTGTTACTTTACGGTATTAAGGATTTACAGCCTATATCATTGATGAAGAAAGATACTGATTATGCTAATAACCTTGAACTACTCAGTGAGTTATACTCATTCATTGCATTGGTGACTTTTCAGGAAATTATTACAGGTGAAGGTCATAGTAGTGCAATAGATTGGTGGGCTCTTGGTAAGTTTACTAATATTAAAAGATTCTGCTAATTTGCTTAAATTTGAACTGCATGTTATAGATATAAGAAACTTAACCTTCAATATCCTATTTTTCCAGATTTCTGAGTATTCATAAATACAGCTCGAAATCGATCACCTAATTTTATCTATATCGATCACACCAATTGTGCATTGTATATTTTCTTCTTCTCCTGATTTTTTTGCTTTCCAATGTCGTACTTTTGATATCAACTTTGGAAAATTTCAGGTATTTTGCTCTATGAAATGCTTTATGGACGCACGCCATTCAGGGGAAAGAATAGGCAGAAAACATTTGCCAATATTTTGCACAAAGACCTTACCTTCCCGAGTAGCATCCCGGTAAATTTTCTCATATTTGGTTTAATTTATTTTTTGTTAAATGGAAATAATGTAGTATAATAATGCACGAGTAGCGAGTGAACAAATTTAAGTTTTATTTATTTATTTTAATTATTTTTTCTGGTTTTGGTGTTTGAGAGCTGAAGAAGATACTACAAGTTTGCGACACTCTCATTTGATTTATTAGTATCTGTTTAAAATGAACCCGAAAAGTTTTGATTTTTGATATGAATCTCAGGTAAGTCTCTCGGGAAGACAACTGATCCATGCATTGTTAAATCGAGATCCAGCGTGCCGTTTAGGATCGAACGGTGGTGCGAATGAGATCAAACAACACCCGTTTTTTCGTGATATAAATTGG